TACAACTTTGTTGATAAAGTACACTCAAACATTAACAGTATTACAGAAATATGTGGCAATATATTACTTCTGGAAGGAAGAAATTAGGGGGGGTCCCTTTAGTGTAGAGCTCATACCACGAAAAGTAATGCGTCAACATATATTTTTTTTAAGCTTATCATTTTTCTTAAATATAATTTAGTAAAAATAATGCAAATTTACGAAGTTTGAGTCCATATTTTTTTTTTAAATGACCGAGATTGTCCCGTGAAGCATATTTTCTGACATTAAATTTTGATACAATAGCCTTACAAAGTGCATCTATTTATAATAATTCATGCAAAACAATGATTATATATTGTTTTATACTAATATGTTTCTACTCTATTTTGGGTATTAAAGTTGAATATTTAGACTTAAATTAATTTATATACAACAAAATCTAGGATAGGTTAAATTTCAGTATTTTACATTTAGGGGTATATACTTAGATAGGCTATAGCGGAAAAGTGAACATGTTGACATATAATTTTTCTTGTGTCTATCCATTGCTGGGATGTGTGTCTATCTTATAAAAGCAGATTTTTAAAGATTGAGCCCATTTAGTGCCGAGTATAGAACTACCTTAAGTCATGTTGTTGAATGGTTATTTAGAATTAATAACTGAATTTATCGATGTTTCTTTTATCCATCAGATGGTCCAGAAAAGGCCGTAATTACACTGACACCATCATTATCAGTGTATTCTGTTGGCGATGAAGAAAAACTGGACTGTTTAACTATCAGTAACCCTCCGCCAGTGTACAGCTGGGGATTCTTATCTACCAATAGTAGTGAAGAGGAACACACTATCAACTTGGATAGAATCGGATCCTCTCTGCTGTTGAAAAATCTTCAAACCAACAATTCCGGAGATTATATTTGCTCTGCTTTCAATACGTTTAACGGGAAGACTCTGAATGTTACAGCTGTTGTACGTTTGTCAGTCAAAAATCCAGAAATACAGCTTACCTCTGCTTATCCGATGAGTGACGCAAAATTATGCCAACCCGGGGAAATATGTAAAGAAAAGAAAGGACAGTCTGCCGTTAGCATCAATATTTGGATGGTAATTAATTTTTATTCTGTTGACCGTGATATTCGTTTCAACCACTGCATATTCATTCATTAAAGAAAAACCAAACTTACAGAGTTGTTTAAGGGAAAAAGATGTAAACATGAGGTACGAAGTTATATACATAATCTGATTGCCATTTTAAATTGTTTGAATACATAATAAAGGATTTAAATTTCTAATTTCAACAACTGATGTATTAGCGATTTTTTTTACCTGAAAACGCTCAAATCTGAATAAATTCCTTTTTTTCTTAGTAGTCCCTCCTTGGAGACTAAAGGAAGAGACAACAGTGAAGAAACGGACCAAGACGGGAATAAACTGTATGGTTTAGCTCTAAAACAAAAAAAAAACTATCTTTTATTTTCTTTCTTTTTATCTGTGAAACATTTCAATCGAATGCCTTTCTGTTGTTAAAACAGAGAATTTTTTTCATTAAATTTATTATTCCAGTGCTGCTTACTTCAATACAAATTAAATGGTATATTCACAGTTTAACATTTTGCAATTTAATTTAAGACTTCCGAAAACTTTGATATTGAAATTTAAAATAATGTTATTGTTAAACTCTGGATCATCAGGCACCTGATACCATTGCAGGTGCTTTGGAGATCTGTGAATGTTCTTTATTATCTCCACATTTCACTTCATTTTTTTTCCTTTTTCAGGTATGACACTGCCTGGCGTTAATATGATATAGGACCAACTTTTTATTACTAGTAATGCATATCCATATGGATAAAAACAGTCGTCGATTCTTTGACCAAATTACTGGGAGTATATTTTTCTGTGTATAATGTCCTCGGTGCCCAGAAAGAAGCAAAAGACGCTTTTCAATGATTTAGTCTTTATAATTTAACTAAGATATTCTCTTTGAATTAAAACACATGTCCGTAACATTTTTATCCAATTTCTGATTGTTTTTAGAACTCATTTTTGAGTATGGTCCTTCATATATTGGATTATAGCAGATCCTATGATTTCTTTAACTTGTTTCTTCTTTCTAAAAGGTGTTGTTTTTTTTAAAGTTTGGAAAATGAATCAAGTCAAAGGATGAAAGATCTGGCGAATATTATTGTGTGACAAAATATTACCTTTCTGTTTGTCCCCAAAACTCCTTAACTCTTCATGGCGTGTTGGTTTGGACGCTGTCGTGAAGAAATTAAATGTAGTGAATTCCTCTTTCTGGTTCCTTTCTTTCAAAAACCTTTCGTTTTTTGTTGTTTTTTTTCAAAAAAGTTGCTTTTTGGACTCCTCCAGAAATTGAACTGCCTTCCCGAATAATAATTTGAACAACAAGACCACTAATATTTAAGAAAATGGCACATAAAACTGTCTTTGTCCTTCTACAATTCTTTGCTCTTCTCAGACCTTGGCTATTTCTGTCAAGTGCATCTTAAAGCTGACATGAATTCTTAAAAACGCAACATTTTCATCTATGTACGACTTGTTTCATACCAACTATAGCCGTATTCCGCCATATTTCTTTCAGATACATTGTCTCATTGTAACGATATATACCCCAATGCGGTCGTTACACTTGAATGATTTTGTGGCTTGGGTATCGACTTGTGCACATCTCCGATGGTAAAGCATATGAGAACACATGAGGTGATCAAGACATTTCAAAACCACAACAAACAACATAGTAATCATATTTCTGAATAATTATTGATTTGTATCAGAAGGAAAAAATGCAAGTTTGGAAGAGAAATTTAGATGCATGAGTACGTATTTTACAGTGCGCCAATTTATGCAGAATAAGCTTGAAATAAAAAGCAGTAAAATTTGCAAACACATTTTGAAATTATATCATTTGAATGGAACAAAACAACCTACGTCTTTGATTTGCAGGTCCTAAAGATGCAATTGATGCATATCGAGAAAACGCCTCGAACGCTGTAAACGTACCCATACCTGGAAATAAGGTTACTGCATCGGTTCAAAGATGTGCACAAGTCAAGTGATATACACCCTGAATCCCATTTATTGAAATATGCATCACAAAAAAGAAATAAACTCCATAAAAGCTCAATAGTAAACACACTGTCATTACTCCGTACAGACTAGCATGTCGATAAACTTAGTCCGTGCTGATCACATTTTGATCAGGGAAAATATCACAAGTGGAAAGAGAACTTATTTGGGATTTGCGCTGCTGAAAAGGGGGGGGGGTTAAAGTATTATAACTGCTGTTCATAAGCTATAATTGTGAATTGTCTATCTACATGTACTTTTAATATACATTCTATACAAAGTCATGTATATAGTCTGCAGTTGGCTTGCGTCGCAAAATTCATTTGTCAATTATAACTGATTATTTTAGTACTAATCTCAAATCTAAACCAAGTAATTTGAGGTACGGTAATTATTTACTTCAAATCTTAAAAGCAATTCACCAGAATACAAATTTTTATGTGTACATCTATACGTTCATTAACACACACACAAACACGGAGAAAGGCCACCCCCTGTTCAGATTGACATTTAGGCATTTGATTTTTTTTTAGGCCGGGGGGGGGGGCATGCAAAAAAAAAATAGTCTAGCTATTTTTTTGTATAAGAATAATTTCTTTAGGAGTATTTGAGAGATAATTTTACGAGCTAGAGTAGGGATACTTGACACTAGTTGAATACGGATAATTTTTATTAACTCTTTTGTATATTGAACTCTCTCTTTCTCCCTCTCCCATCCGTTAGGGCAATAATAGGTATAAAATCCCACACACTTTATGCTGTACCATCTATTAAGCCTTAGAACTGATCAAGGATTTTTCTCAGACGGAATGTCGAAACTTCGTAAATTGAATAATAATTTTAATTTGGACAAGAAATTAACCCAAACGCCCAAATTGAAAGAGAAACTAGAGGTATTGTGAGCAATGAGCTCACTAAAGGATACCCCGCCTCCCATGTGGTTATACATGTAATGGCAGTCCATATTTTGCTGTTGTCGCTAAACCCAAAATATGTGTCGAATCAAAAAGCAGGCACGTAGCATCGTATTTAAAAGTGGTGGCCAGTCAGAGAATTCTTTTTAATTACCTGAAAAAGTTGACAAGCAAAAAACAAAAAAAACAAAAAAAACAAAACCTTCAATTAACATTTCCTATAGTATAAGTTAGGTCCCCCCCCCCCCCCGTTGCTACACCCCTGAAAAATAAAATAGGAGTTGCACAATAGTAATATGTAATAAACCTTAGATTCTGTGAAAGTTTCATTAAATTTCACTAAGTGGTACAAGATGATTTGCGGATAAGAGATTGGTACCCCAAAGCGTAAGAGACAGACGCACGGACAGACGGACGGACATAACGATTACTATATACCCTCCCACTTTTCAAGCGGGGGATATAATAAACGTGAAATATACATCACAGGAATGGGAACATTGGGTACTTTCTCAATTACCTTCTCAAACGTACGTGTCGAACCTGGACCTGGACAACAGACAAGAGAATTTTTAAAAAAGCTAATTGTAGGTAGAATGTGGAATTCTCATGGGGAGTTTGCTCTCTCTACCTATATGCTTTTTCTAATAATCATTAATTATTTATGTCTAGAAATTTAATTCACATTAAATTCTATTTTCATTATCATTGCACCACAGAATCAAACTCGTTTATTATACTCCTCGCAATAAGTTGCGTGCATGAGGTATAATGTTTTTGACCCGTCAGTCAGTCTTTTTTTTTTCTTTTTTTTTGGTCAGTGCAACTTCTCATACACCTCTGCACAGAGTTTTGTCCAATTTTGCAGATATTTATGGGATACAATGTGTGTGTAGATTTACACATCACCAGAAAATTCCGAATTCTTTATTTTTTCGGGAATTTCCGCACTTTCACATTTAGATTTTGGCCATATCTTGAAAATAGAGATGAACAGTTTGTTAGTGCAATTCCTCATAAACCGCTGCACACAATTTCGTCAAACTTTGCACGTATTTAGGACACAATGTGTATAGATGAGCATAATACATGGAAATTGCGATTCCTTTATTTTTTCTGGGAATTTCAGCACTTTGACTTTTGGGGAAGCGTGGGGTATGTGAACTTGCTCACTTTTTTCCTTCCATTGTGCATAAAATTATAGATAACTTTGTATCAAATTATATTAGTTCTAATAAAGCCTATACATAGTATTTATTTGATAATAATTAATCTGTTTCAGACGTTTTTCTTAAATTATTTTTATGAGAGTATTAATATGCATGTTTTATTACCCCCCCCCCTCCTATCACTGTAAAATATCTTCAAAAGATGAATGATTCGTAATAATACATGCTTTATTATAACTTTATTGAAGTTAAACCATGTAATCATAAATTTTATTTACTACATTTACAAACAAGAGTAATGTTTATTTTTGAAAAAAAAATTTCAGCCCCACTGAGCTTTCAACCTTTGATATTTTCCCTGACCAAATAAAATGATCGGCATGGGCCACGTGTGTCCAAGCATCTTTTACTATTGAGTTAGCAATGGATTACATGACTTCTGAGATGCATTTTTCAATAAAAGTAAAATAGGATAATTCTTTCGACATGTGCACACCCCTGTAACGATAGCAGTATTCAGGTAAATGTTTTATCACTGCGTTTGACGCGTTTTCTCGACCTGCATGGATTTTTGCTGTACATAAATGTATTCCATGTTAGTGTACTTTTTATATTGCAGCAAATGCATTCAAAAATAATTTAATTCTCGGTATAGCTCTATTTTTTGCTGAATTTTTACTTTTCAAACATGTATTGGTCAGTTTGTGGACTTCTAAAAACTATGCTATCGGAGATGTGTACATGTCGACAGCCAAACTAGAAAATCACTCAAGTGAAACAGTTCTACAGGGCTATATATAGCAGGTACAGGTGGCCAAAAATCTTCGATTAAATATGGCGGAATCGAACAAATATGTCGGACAAGGGCGTTTAGGAATGTAGTAAGTCGTACAAAGATGAAAGCTGATGCCTTTTTAAGAGTTCATGTCAGCTTTAATGTAAAAATGTTTTGAGGGTAATAAAGCAATGGATTCAAATGTATTTGTCTGTTTGAATTTCAGACAAACTTGAATAACTACTATTTCTGATTTTTTTAAAATAACTGTTCATATATTCTTACAGGATGTCGTTTTCACTTATTTTTTTCAAAACATAGTGTGTCCATTCAGTATCTAGATTCTTTACTGTCAAATGTTTCTTTAAAATGGTGCGAACTACCCCAAAATAATGCCTATTAAATTTGCTATGTGTTTTTAAGTCAATCAAACATCATAAGTGATAATTTGTTGAATTTTGGTAAATAGAACATTGGATATTGTAAATCCTTGTCGCCATGGACGGTACCCATTTTTGATGCCCATTATATCATTATTGTTCATTGAAATCCATCTGCTCATGTGTTTATAAAACAGCCATTGGTTGCTGTAAATTTCACAAATTTCAGTGATTATTTCTTTGGGATTTTCATCAAGTTTTACAGCTGCTGAAACGAAGCGTTTATTTTCACTTTATTACTTATTCTTTACCATTCATTTTTAATGCAGTGTCTCAAATAGCCCTTGTTTTC